CTGGTGCGATTGTGCCCAAAATACTTCATGGTAGCTTAAGAGAACATGGTGGTATATTGGCTGCATTTAACACTAACACAGTTGCCATGTTAAATCCAGGCAGCAGCACTGAACCTAATGCAAGAAGTACTCCACATAGCCTCATTGCCCTAGACTCACATTGGCAGCATTTCATTTTGTCATGACACAATGTCATCTCTCTCTTCCTCTCTTTACGCCTTTGCCACCACGCTCATGTGTTTTCTCTGGCAATGTGTTGTCCCACTGAGTGGAGCATGCAATGTGATGTGTTACAAGAAGAACTGAGAGGGGTGATAGCAGGGGTGACTCTTCCCACGGCAGGAGTAACACCATTGTCGTTGTTTTGTACTGCCCTGAGTATTAATGCTACTAGGGCACTTATTTTCTGAAGAATCAGTGGATTTTGCATGTGCACAACTCCGCCAGCAAAATCTCCACCTTAATATTTCTTTGATTGCCCAACTAAGCAAATATGTATGAATGATCTGAAAGATACTTGAGGACGTAGACATTTAAAGAAGGTCAACGCAGGCAGTAGGCCTGTGCAAATAGGGAACTATTTGATTCGGGTTCAGATTCGGCTGATTCGAGTGCCAGCGATTCGATTCGGAGCTCCGAATCGGTTTTCCCTTCAGTTCGGCTGAACTGGCTCTGAAGCTTCGATTCATAAAAGATTCAGAGATTCGGCCATAGGGTATAGTGGGGAATCAATGAAATAGCTATAACAAAGTTATATCCTAAAGCTTCCAGTAATTCCATTCAGATTCGTAGATTCGGCCTCCGAATCATCCCTGAATCTGAATAGTGATCCGATGCTTTGCACAGCCCTAGCAGGCAGTTGTTTGGCAGGATAGCAATGGATAAATAACTTTGATTGTAGTATATTCAGCATTGGGGCAGGGCCTGCCTTTTTTTCTGAGTTTGTACAGCGTTAGCCACTGTGGCCTCCTAGGGGCACTGTAGATAATCAATAGGGCCTGTGTTCAAAGGTGACTTTAATTGTCTGCGCCATGTATGGAAGAGCCGCTCCCATGCACACCCACCCATCTGCTCCCACACACACATACCAAACCTGGAAACACGGTAGTGCAGCAGCTCCAGAGACCACTCTGGCACGGTGGAGGAAAACAAGCCTTGAGAGTAACTATGGGAGAAACACCTCCAGAGCAGCCTAAGCACTGCCACTTGGGGTTTGATGTGCGAGTGGAATGGAAGGTACAAGGTTTCCTTTGGGAACAACCCAAACACACTATGGACACCGTGCAGACATGCCTGTAAGCACTTAGCCCCAGACCCTAAAAGGCATTTAGGTCCCTAACTCCCATAGGTTTGAGTGTCTAACTCCAACAGATACTGAAGTTTTTTGGTAAACTAGGCACCTAAATTTGGACCATAAGGACCCAACAACCAGATTGTTGAAGTATTTTGGCATTACCAGGCCTACACAATTTAGGTGGCTAAGTTCCACTTTTACAAATGACTTAGACTATTAAATCACTGAGGGTGTGAACAGACATTGTCTTAAAGGAGGCGGCTTTGGAGTCCTATCAGCTGTTCCATTGCAGCTGTTTCATTTGTCCCCCCTATCCTGGAGTATGTAAAGATAAGCCTCCTTGTTTCATTCAGGAATAACCTGCCATCTTTTAACTCCCAGTTACAATGAGATAGGAGTAGACAGATGAAACACTTATAGTAGATTAATCTGAACTGTGGCAACACCTCTCCTCTCCTTTAAAACAGCATTATTGTTCCTTTGTCTATACTGTTTGCCATTGATGACATGCTTGCCGTAAATTAAAAAACCTGGTGAGAATAGAGAAAAAAAAAAAGTCAAATTCTGCCAGTCACACTACTTCTCTAGGGTTTCAACAACAGAAGCTATTATTTTCAAATTAGAATGACAAAGGGTCATGCCAGGTCAGGGCCCTCCTCTATCAGGCAACTCTCTACTAAGGCCAAAGGCAGCATTGAAAAACTGATCCATTTTATAAAGAGAGGTTTTATATGTGTGTGTGTATGTGCATATACGTGTGTGTGTGCATATATACATAATATATATATAATACACACACACACACACACACACACACTGTTTCTTCCAGACTTGTCCTCAAAGGACATTGCTGAAAGTGTCTGAAGTTTGAGGAAAGAATTGTCAAGATAATAAAAGGGGGGGGGGGGGGGAGGCAATGGCATAGATTACAGAGGGAACAAACAGTACAGATCAGTTCAGTAATCAAGCCAGCAGATAACAGCTTTGTGCACCTGGGAGAATGTCTAATGCAGTGGCTGCTCTCCTGGCCATTTCATATGGCTAGATTTTTAATATGATATTTCTATACTGCAGATACCATTATAAGTGCAATTTTCTGGAGGATTTCTGAAAATATAGAGGCCCCTAATGCTGTGACAATGTAAAATGGCCAAGGCATGCAGAATGAGAAGTGTGAAACCTCCAATAACAGGGCTGTGACTTGCAAAGCTCAGGTGATGCACATAGGAGCTTTGTCAGAAAAGTACAGGACAGATTTGTGCTGGGTATAAAACACCCATCTTGCTCTAAGCCTGTTCGTGGGTGTGATGATCAGCGTGACAAGGTGGGGCCTTAAATTGACAATGAATTTGGCAAAGTGAGTTGATATGCTGAGCTGACTAACATCTGAACCTCCATCAAATGGTAACCACCTCTGGTTACTCTTGACCTGGAGTAAGCAGTGTCTCAATTGAGATCCATCATATCTGGGCATATCTGAAACACTTAATTTAATCTTACCAGCCCCCTGTGGTGTGTGACAGTATTACCATCCCCATTTTACAGATGGAGAACTGAGGCCCAGCGAAAGTTAAAAAGCATTTAGGATATCATTGACAAATCTCAGTCTCCTGACACAAGATTGTCCTTTCATTCTCATTCCCAGCATGCCAAGCTCTACAAAAAGTACTAGAGTAGCTGATGGTACAGAGAGTACTTGAAGGTTGGGCCAATATGTACATAAAGGAGACTGGTTTCAGAATACAAGGTAGTGATTTTACAAGTAGTTTATCACCTTGTCTAATCACAAACAGTCAAAAAACCTGAGGCTGAATTGATTCAAACTTCATAGGTCTGTCTAAGCTGTGTAGATTGAACCAATAAGCAAATGAACAGACATTCACTTTTCATTCCAGAAATGTAGCTATATGCCTGAAGTGCATCAGGCCAGAAGCTGGCGGGAGGGGGGTTACTGGAGGTTTTTTAACTGCAAAGTGTGGCCCTTTCTAGAATGCAGGCCTTAAGTCACCTCTAACCAAGCACCCCAAATCAATAGATACTTTTGGAAATTTTAGCCAGGTTTTTTTTAATTTCACTGTGCCAGGAACTATGTTATGGAGAAACCACTTCACTTACAGTAGCACAGAAGGAAAAGAAAAAGTAGCAGAGTTGAAGGAAAGTGGGCATGCAAAATTAAAGGGCTACAGTACACCAATAAGGCAAAAATGCAGTTGAATGTCTCAAAGCCCAGAGAGCGATCTTCCCCTGACAGAATCTTGGCCAAAATGTATCACGTTCTTGGTTTTCACTATCCACGGACAAATCTTACTACAGCATATGTACTGGTGTAGCTGATGCCATGACAATCTTGCCCCTTGCCACTTGAAACTGAACTTTACCACAGTATTGGGAGCATTTCCCATTGCGAATACAGGCACACCAGCAAATAGTGTGGTCAGTGGAGGTAAATGCTATGCTATGCTATGGTAAATGCCAAGATAATAGCATGAATTGTGTGTTGATTCCTTGTTTTTCTGTGACTTCCCCATTTCCATCTCCTATTTTTAAAGTTATTTCTTTCGGATCCAGCGTTTCCCCACTTTCCCCAAAATGTTCCTCCATTTATGTTTTCTCAGGTGGCAACACTACCTCCCTCTGGATTCTACTACCTTGGCCATCTCCAGCATACAGTACGTGCACTGTGGCTCATGTATACTTTCCTTAATCCACCTGGTTAGCCAGATCTCTCTCCTGGTAGGAAGACACAGTCCTTAAATATTTCACTTTTCATTACTTCAAAGCATATATATGAGTAACCAGATATTTATTAGTCATTCACATGCCTTATGTTACTATAGAATGTAGTTCTCATGAGGGAAGCCAAGATTTTTGGATGTTTTGGAGACTTTGGAAAGTTTCATAGTTTCTAGGGTCGGAAGGGACCTGAGAAGATCATCAAGTTCCGACCCCCTGCCCTGATACTAAGTTTCTTAGTAACATCTAAAGCAAAATGTGAGCATGGACCAGAGAGAAAGTTTTCCCTCCATAGTCGCTGGATGCTCAACAAGTAGCAGTCAGGGCAGGTATTCTTGAAGGTTAATGGTAAATCGTTCTCAGTTAATCTCAGGAAAGGTTCAGGATCCAGAAAGCCTAGAGAAAGAGAAGAAAAATATTGAATGGACTCAATCATGTCATTTGGACCCTGTATCTTGTTCCAGCTGGTGGTGAGCTTCACTTCACCATCGGTGGAGGAATTGAAAGGAACAAAGCAAGAGGGGGGCCTGATCATGTCCCTTCACTCCGCATTGCATTAGAGTATTCCTTCCAAGTGGATATCTCTACATCTCCAATCTGTCTGAGCCTTTCAAAACTTGATTGAGTATATTAACCAAGCGCTTTATCCAAAGCCATAATTTAGGTGTCTAGAACAGATTTAGATGCCTCACTTTGGAGAGGTAGTTTCATTTACTCCTTTTGATGTATTTCCATTCTTTAGATTGTTTTTAGGTTAATGTCTTTTGCATAGTAAAGATCTGAAAACAACACAAGACTCTGAGTGTATCCTAGGAAAGAGACTCTCCTCCTTTTTTATTCTATGGATAGATCTGCAGGCCTTCTGAGTTTTTGCAACAGCATCACATTGCAAACTCATAATTATGAACATTGCATATCATACTCATATATTTCTTTATTTCTTTTTAACCACGAAACTCCTCTTTCATATTTCTATGTAGTATTTTTTTCCTCGGATGTAATCAATTCATACTATTTTTCTGAGCTAATTCTTATTCATTTTAATCCATTTCTCTAACTGTGTTCCATTTTTCTGAGGGTCCTTCACTTACGGCCCTCTACACATTGCGTTTATGCTGCAATTAACACATTTATCACAACATAAATGGCAAGGATGCTACACATGCACCCAATTTAAGGTACCATAAAATGGCAAACCATCCATAAAAGCATTTCTCATATAATGTAGAACATCCTTATGGCTGGTTTGTAAGGTGCCTTCAGTTGAAAATGTGATGTGTCCACGCATTAGGGCTCTTTGGGGCTGATGCTTAATAATCAGCTGATTGCTAAAATCAGCACTGGATATCCCCAGCCTCCAACCTGCCTGCTGACAATGTTGTCGGCACCAGCCTAAGGTTTCCAACTGCCCCAGGCCTAGTGTTAACAATCATCTGACAATTGACTGTTTTTTCAGTCCTGGCCCAGACAGCCGGCAATCTTGATCTAGATCTTGGGCTCTCCAGGGCTGAGGCCAGCTGATGGTCCTCTTTGGCCCCAGGATAGTATTGAGTTATACTGGGCTGCAGGCACCTGACTTTCAATATGCCAGTGCAGAGAAAGCCCTGGATCATGATTCCCAGCTTCTTCTGCACTGGCAAGATGAAATGATGTAACTGGGATTTGATCAGTGATTTCACAATTGTGCTTCCTGCCATGCATATGTGGTATGACAGGAGGCACAATTATTGGGATCAAGGGTCAGAGCCCATGGTCCTTTGAATTAATGTGTGCCAAGGGCCTGAGTTTCCTATTTCTCCTTAAAGCCTTATCCAAAGCTTACTGGAGAAAATGACTCTTTTTACTGAAACTGATGAACTTTGGGTCAGGTGCATGGTCCGTTGCCATAAGTAGTTGCATTCTAAGTCATTAATGAAACTTTTTTTCCCTCTCTCAAGATTCTTTTCTGCAAATATTTGAAACAGCAACATGCCTAGCCAAGACCCCCAGAAACCTATACCAGACCTTATGCGTAGCTTTCTCTTGGATCATATCTGTTTACTTTTTGAGTAGAGGGTCCCAAATGCACATGTCCTACAACAGGCTGTAATAAGACTTTTGTCTAGGAGCCTTACTTGTGCACAACCCATTACTGTAACATGAAGTGCATCATGGAAGAAGAAAAACCTGGATACTGACAAAGTCAACTGCAAAACTTCCACTTCAGTGGAGCCAGGATTTATTTCTCAGTGAATTCAGTTTCTTAAACAGTGCTTAACAGATGTAGAACATAGAGATGTGGGCAAGTCTATTCCCATTTAACCATCTTGATTCATTTTTCAGAAAATAATGAAGCGTCTTATTAAGCGGTATGTACTGAAGGCTCAGGTGGATCGAGAAAATGATGAAGTCAATGAAGGTAAGTGGTTTGTACTATTGCTAATGGTATAACCACTGTGAGAAGCATGTCACATGATAGTGTTGTTAAGTTACAAACTGCTGTGGCCGATCAGAGATTGTTAGCTGGAGCTCCTGGAGATACGTTCTCAGTGGTAAGATGGAGATGGGTGTCTTCAAACCACCCGTGCGCACTTGGAATCCAAGTTTCTCTGGCAGGCAAGGATAACTGCCCTGCTGTACATATAGATCCACCCACTCCCACTCATAATCTCAGGAACATCCCCTCCATGGGACCTTATAAAGGGACTTGTATACAGGAAACTTATGACTGCCCTGCACAGTATCTGCACTGTTGGACTTCTTCTCCTAGACTCTTGTACATCTCCATAGTGTCATACAAGGGATACAGTGGAGGAAAGTCTTCCTTCTAGTATCTGTAATATGCTAAGCCTTCTACATTTCATAACATGATCCCATTCTTTATTTGCCTGGAATATGGGTTTTTCAAGTACATCCATATTTCTTAATGGCATGTTAGTGCCTCCCTAGGGGTCTTTGAAGGTCCCTTGTCAAAACCTTGGTCTGAATCATCCTCAGGTAGAGAGGATATATAGTTTCCTAGTCACAATAAGGAGAGCGCTATATAGCACAGGCTCAAAGCATCATTTCTCTGAATCCCCAAAAAGGTTCCAATGTAAACCAGAGATTTTAAGTGAAACAGTAGAGGTTTTAGAAAGAACAGGAACTTTCTACATATGACTGTTGTCAGCGATATGATTAATTTTGCAGTTCAGTATGTTGTCGTGCGGTTCTGAGTAGCTGCTATTGGAGTTGGAATGCCAGTTCAGTTCCAACACAACTTATTCCACTCCCATAGGTTATGCTCCTAAATTAATTTGTTCTCAGGAATTAACTATACCAGAACTGGTATAATTCAACCTTATTAACAAGATGACATATATCTTTTTTTCTTTTAGGAGAACTTAAAGAGATTAAGCAAGATATTTCCAGTCTCCGCTATGAACTTTTGGAAGAAAAATCACAAGCCACTGGAGAGCTGGCAAGGCTAATACAACAGCTGAGTGAAAAGTTTGGGAAGAACTTAAATAAGGACATTTGAGCGTAAAGAAAGGGAAAGCTGACTAGTTTTCTAAACATTTATTTGATATTTCAACCAGCATTTTAAGAGAGCAAAAACACTGCAAGAGATGAGTACTGGACACTCAATTTTTTGCAACGTAACAAATATTGGTAGGGGCACTGTGCATTAGACTGTGGTATTGGATGAAGCCAATGTTCATATATATCCTTTATGATATAAAGGGGACACATCTGTATAAAAATGAGCCCATCGACATCAGATGTAGATGCACCATCTCCAAAAGATAATCATGGTTATTCTAGATACCCAAAGCACCTTTTACAAAGGCAAAGGGCCAAATGCTCACCTGGTATAAACTGACATAGCTCCAATGAAGCTATGCTGATTTATACCACCTGGGGATCTGACTCACCAACATTTGGGTTTAGAGCTGGGTGAAGCCTGCTGAAAAGCGTTCCATGAATACCCATTCCTCTTTTCAAACATAGTCACGTTCCCATACGTGTGCACACTTCTTTTCTGTTTGCCTTTCATGGTCGTCAGTAAAATTGAATTTGAATAGCGCTGTAGTTAATGAAAAGCAAATGTAAAGTCACACACTAAAATACGGTCATCTCAATTACTCTTCCCAGGAGTATTTGTCGTAGAGATTTAATGGGAAGAGTTAACTCATCCAATTCAAAGAGGAGCAACAACACTATGTGACCATTCATAATGAAGCAACTGAGCTCAAATTTGAGATGTCAAATGGCAAGCCGCAGAGTAAATGAAATTTACGGGCACACGGTTGGATAGTTTCAAACCATAAACGCGTTAATTTAAAAAAATATATCCCACTGACTAAGGACATCCCATCAGCACAAAGGGGTATTTGCCAACTGAATGGTTTGCTGTGAGTTGTGTGTTCAGCTCAAAAACAAGGAGAAATTAAAACCAGTGACTCAATGTGATTGCAGATTGTACACTCTTGCAAGTGAAAAGCGATCAGTCTGCACAACACAGCTGAATATTCAGTTGCTTCTCGTTATGTTATGGATTTCAGCTGCTGAAAGCACACCTTACTACTTTGAACCACGAAACTGTATTATTTGTTTACAAGGCGCACCTATAGGCTGACCATTATATTTAGATATCAGCTCAGAAAAATAAGCAGGACCAGAAGGTGACCTGTGACCAGATCTTAAGTGCCAGATGAGAACACAGATAGCCTAATAGAATAATAGTTATATTTGTAAAAAAAAAAATAAAAAAAAATAAAAAGTGTACTGTAGGTAGATCTGTTTAGAGAAAAAAACCCAACAAAATAATGTATTTTTACCTTTAATAAGATTATCTTGTATACTGTCATATTTTTACCTAAAAATGGAAAACAAAATAAAATTACCTCATAATATTTTGTTGTACCATGTGTGAAATGTTTGCCTGATCTTTTAAACATCCAGCACACAGAGCATATCATTGTCCTTGTACAATTGTGAGCAGGTAGAGCATCTGAGGATAGAATAAGGACTCAGCAGCAAGTCTGAAAGCAAAAAAGTGAAATTAAAGTTGGCTTTCTGCAAACCATCAACACCCAGACACTAAGTAAATCCATGGGGGAGATGTTTAGCTGTAAATATCTGTACCACGATTGATCCATGAGCACATGTAAAATGTAACCAAGATAGCTGAGTAACATGGGGACCAACCTTTTTGGCAAGCATGCCACAAATTTACTCCACACCCTGCCCCAGGGCGTGCCACTCCAAACGCCTTCCCGATCTGCTGCTCGGTTTTCTGCCCTCGGGCCTGTGCTCCCTCTCTGACTTGCTGCTCTGCTTTCTGCTCCCTGCCCTATGTGCCACCATGTTCCATGCTCCCTCCTTGATCTACCGGATGCCACACTGAGAAGTAGCCCTGACTTAGCATTATTATTCTGAGTCAGAAATAAAATGCTGACAGTAGTTGACTTGTGTTTAGAAAACTCAGCCAATGAGACAACTAAAGCCTCGTTCCCCGTGTGTAACACCCATTCTAGAGGTGATGTGACATGTTAGAGTGCACCAGTGTTTTCCTGTAATTTCCAGTAGCGGAAAATTGTCTCTGTTTTACAGTCGGTTGCAATGCAATATCATGATCAACCGCTGTTCACCAAGAAAGCCTCACATGATAACATCGCATGGTGGATATTCTTACATTGCACATTTACAGAGGTATTTTTCCCTCCCTTTGAAAGAATGAACCCCATACACAGTGGTCACTTTGCGCTATCTTGCTCTGTTTAAACCAGGAAATTCTAATGAATTAAAGGGCCTGACTTGCACTTTGAAAACTGCACGGGTTTTACCAGGCCATGGTTATCAAGAGAAATGCTTTCTGAAAGACCTTGGCAACAATGAGGCATTAGCCTTCTGTGTTATTGTAAGCAGAGGTGTCACTACCAGGCCGGTACCTGGGAGGTGGCAGCGCCAGGGGCTGGTAGCCGTGGTAGCTGCTACTTTTGTGCCCCATCTAAGCAGCTGGTGCCCGCTTTGCCCACCTTTTGCTAGGCTACTGATCATACATACAGATCACTTTCAGGCATCACACTTTTCATTTCCGGCACACATGGGGATACCTGGTGGGGTATCCTTATCCGTTTGTCAGTCTGAGACCCCTTCCCACGAGACACTCCCTTAGGCACCGCCCTTCGCCCATCACAGACCTTCTGTTCAAGCAACTGACCGAAGCATTCATTTCTTTTTATGGTGGGATCCTGTTATCAATCTGTTCTTAACTGAACCTCTTGGTTACGCCCTCCTCCGTGCCCCCCCGACCGTCGAGTCCCAGAGAACAGCCAGGAGGCTTGGCACCCGCAGCCCTGCAGTGCCATAGAAGCAGCGTCTTCAAAATGAAAGTAGGTTTATTTTGCCTGAGGACACAAGACATTCAGACAAGGATTGAGCCTTATGCACCCACAACCTTCCCTACATTTGCCATTCCCCTCAGGCATCTAAGGAGACGTGACTTAGCCTTGGTGTCCTTGGTTCTCTTGGGGACCAAGTCAAAGCCTGCCTTTGGCAAATCCTGCCTCTCAGTCAAGCTCTGTCAATCTGTTGAAGTGGAAAGATCTCCCCCTTCCTGACATTGGCCGAAATAGCTCTCACCAGGGTTGCAACTGAAGATTTGCCTTTTCATAGCTACATATGTTGCTACCATGTCTACAGTGATGTTCCTTATCTTGGTATTTGTATTGTCTCATGTCTGGTTTCCTCACGACCAGTTTTGCTCTAACTTGGCTCTATTGCCAAGGGCTCTATTGCACTGATACAGAGCGGGGCATAAGATGTTTCCATAATACCAGCATTCCCCCAGTTCTCCACAGCTGTCATTGTCATGGGCAAAGTCACATGCCAACAAGTGCAAACTGAACAGGTCAACTGCGTCGCCACTCCATAGTTAAATCACACAGGTTTAGTTGGGAAATAATGAAAAGCTTGCTAATGTCAATAAAAGTGCTTCAGTTGACTTGGATGGTTCAGCTCTAAGCGGTGAAAATTGCAGTTGGTAAACGTTCTGATAAGCATGATTAGTACTCCAATATGAATAGAGTTATTGCATTTTTTTCCTTATATGCCTTAGATTATGTATATCCATTCAGTTACCCCCTGCTTTTCTAACACATACCTGTAGCACCACAGTCAGGACCAGGAAGTCAAACTCATTGTTTGGCATATAGTAATTTATTGTGACTGAATGTAAACTTTCTCTAGGTTTCAAGATGAAGATAAAAGAAGAGCAGGGAAAGCACTATAAAAATACAACCAAAAGTCTCCAATCCAAAATTAAAAACAGATTTGCCATAGCCATAATTTCTTCTCTTTTGAGGTACTTTGAGATACTTTGGTAAGAAGAGGACAAGTTTCTTCTAATTTCTGAGCCAGAGCCTTGATAATGAGACAGTGCAAGAAGATCTTAATCTGAGGTCATCATTTTTTTTTATAAAGAATTTTTTATAAAAATGTTCTCATTAAAAGTGTTTGCCTTACCTAAACATTACAATTTTTCTAAAGAAATAACTATTTTATTTGGAATTCTTTCCCAATTGACATAAAAGAAATCCTTCTTTGATTTGAATGGAGTTAATCCTTTTTATTCTCACTTGTCTAATATTTTTTCCCATTGATTCAGAGCAAAGTGTTCTCTCTGCAAACTTTGGGCAAAAAATATGGAAGTGGGGGAAATCAAGCAAGGGAAAGTTTGCAATCCCAAATGTTAAGGTGAGCAGATATGTTTGCGTCTACTGATCACTGAGCATTTTATCTTAAGAGGCAGAAATGCTTCTGGGCTCCTGAACACAATCAGTGTGTTCAAGCTGATCACACACCGACTGCAGACACTTCCTCAGCCTGACGAAGGGCTTTTAAACCTGAAAGCTTGCTTAAAATTGTTTGCCAACTATTTAAGTTGGTCTAATAAAAGAGATTAGCTTCACGCAAAGAACCTTGTCTGCCTATGTCCTTAGGCCAACACGGCTACAACATGCACCCCTTCAAACGGATCAGTGATTTGCCCATATAGGGTAGTATAAGCAGCTATGACCTTCTCTGGGGAGGCAGACAACAGAAGATGAAAGTCAGTCTATGAGAGTAACGTGAAGTTATATACACAATGATCCAGTTTGTTCCTTCCCTGCTGCAGGTTGCTAACTCGGATCAGCAGGGAAGACAAGCCAGGAATGAAATGCTCCAACTGCGCAAGAGAAAACAAAAATATTATTTTAACTTTCACAAACTACCCAATTATTGGATTAGTGGATTGCCTTGTATCTGGCAAAGAACAAAACAGCAATGGCCTGTTAATGAAAACTAAGGCAAAATCCGGCAGTCTACTGTTTCTTTAAACAGCCAGATTAACGGGGATGGAGCAAATTTTGACCAAAGCTGGAAATCTTGAAATGAAGGAGCGAATTAAACGTGAAAGTGAAACAAATAAATACAGGAGGCCACAAGAGGGCACTGCAGGATGAGCATTGAAGGACCCAATTCTGTATCCTTGAAGTCAAAGGGGTTTTGCTGTTGCTTTCAGTGGTTCACCATGCAGAATTAAGGACTTCAAGTGAGGCTGCAGAAAGGTCACCTTTATATTTTAGCTGTATTTGGAGGTTAATTCAGATCTGATCCAGGACCAGCCTCGGCTGCGACAACCTCTGCCTGAAGCATGCTGTATGGAGAAACAAAAGAAACAACAGTGGCAGGAAATCCCGCCCCAAAAGGACAGCTGCATGTCAATTAAAACTTAACAGCATGTAAAACTGCTAGAGCCTGGCTTTACTTTACATTAATCAATTTGAGAAATCCACTTTCTGTCCTCCAAAAGAGACCGGCCTAATTAAAAGATATAAGAGATTAAGGCAGGCACGGGGCTTGAATGCAGGAAATCAGAAAGTCTGTTAATGAATTCACGCAGGGAGGGAGGGCGGCTGCTTTCAAGGGATTTTAAACAAGTCAATAAATGCCGTACTTGGCAACTCACAGAGCAGTGGCTGACAAAAAGCAGTTCCTGCAGCTCACAGAAGGCCATGGTCCTCATATGGGGAGCAATCAGCAGAAAGCCCCATGAAGCCAATGGAGGAGGAGACGGCCCAGAGACCATTGATTTTGCTCAGCTGTTTCATGCAAGTAGCGGAGAATTTGGGGGGGCAGTTTTATTATTTCAGGCAAGGAGCCTATCTCTACCCTGCCCTGGCCTGAAGGCATTAAAGAGTCAGAGGCAATTAGACGCTGAACTGCATGCCTAGAAAGCAATTATGTGTCGGAGACAATGCAATGGCACTAAGAACCTGTTGAAGTTTTTTTTCACCTCTTTCCTCACCTTGACTCACATTCACCTCTCTGACTAATCAGCAGCTGAGGAACAGCAGACTCCACAGGGTAGCTAAGGTTAATAAACCCACCCCATAAAAAGCCTTTCAGATTGCAACAAATTCTACCATTCTGAGTGTATCTTTGTGCTTTAGTCGAATCTTTCCAGGGCTCTGGCCACAAAACTGTAGCAGCTGTATAGGAAGTGACATCAGGCATGAGGTTAACCTTCTCATGCTTAACCTTCTCCTCCCAACCCACTTTCTAGTTTCATTCACTTGTCATTAATCCAGAGAGTAAGATTGGTTGGACAAAGCACTTAGCACAACGGAGCCCTAACTCTTAAATGAGGAGTTACTGGAAGAGAAGTCCATAATAATGATGACGATCACAAATACAGCAACAGCAGCAATGTAGTTTTATAAAACCAGTAAGTCAAAATGGCCATACAAGGTTGTTCTTCTCAGTCCAATTAAACTTCATTTACCTTCTTCCTACTTTCCAGTTCCTCCCACCCAAGTCAGCCCTGGATACAGCAAAGGTTAAATAGAGCTGTCATGAAAGAAGCAATCACCGAGTCTTTCTCAGAGGTTGTGTTGTTGCACTTCTGTGGAATACACTGAAAACAGCCTTCCGTAGGATCTGAATGGCTGTGATGGCATTGAAAAATAGCATCTGTTATCTGGTTTTACAGTACGTGCATATGAAGGGAAAGTGCTTGAACTCAACCCTTGTGGCTCCCAAACAACAGCTGCAGTAGAAGCCATACCAAAAAAAGATGAAAGTTGGAGGACTCGAAGACCCAGTCAAGCGAGACCTCCTTCACCAGTACCTCAGTGAAAAACTGGTGAATTCCAGTCATCAGCGACATTGGGAGAATGTCAGCAGTGCTTGGGGAGCCTTCAAGTCCTCTGTCATCAGCACCTTTGAAGAGACACTTGGATTCTCTACCAGGAAACTTCAAAACTGATTTGATGAGAATGACCAGGAGATCCTAGAGCTGATTGATTGCAAGTGCAAGGTATTTTGTGCTTGGCAGAACAACATCAATTCCAAGGCAAAGAAACTGAATCACCAAGTAGACAAGACAGAGGCCCAAAGGAGGACCCATCATATGAAGAACAAATGGTAGGAAGGCAAGGCGAAGTATATTCAACATCTCACTGATATCCACAATATATACAGGTTTTTTTCAGTACCACCAAAGCTATCTACAGTGCAAGCACTCAGGTACCAATCCCTTTGAGACTTAAGGATGGAGGAAACCGGAAAGGGGAGCCATCAAGTACCCTTAAAGGAGCTTTTTGAAGACTTTCTCAGTTGAGACCCTATTGCTGAGTTCCACCTCGCAACACCCAGTCAGAGGCAATCTAGGAATCCCTCCAATCCTTGATGAGGTAAGGAAAGCCATCAAGCAGATGAAGAAAAATAAAGCATCTGGAGCTGATGGAATCTGCACTGAAATCTTCAGGCAGGAGCTACAGGAGCTCACATCAAAGCTCCATGTCCTAATCTTAAGGATCTGGAAGGATAAGGAAATCCTAGATGACCTTACGGATGCCATGACTGTGACAATCTTCAAGAAAATGGGACTGACACTTAATCTTCAGAACACTAAGGTCCTTCATCAACAAGCCCTTAATGAGCAGTCCCAAGCTCCAGTAATTCATATTTACAGTGTGACTCTGGAGAACATTGATATTTCCCATACCTCAGAGACCATCTCTTGCAGATGGCTGATATCAGTGAAGAAACCCAATATCACCTTATAAGTGCAAAAGCAGCCTTTCGACACCTAAGAAAATATGTATTTCATCAAGAGACACCTTAAGTCACTGGTACAATACCATCCATGTTGCCTGAGGAAAATCCTTTGAATACCATGGGAAGACAGATGCACCAACATTAGCATCCTCTTGCAAGCAAACACCACAAGCATCGAGGCAACGATCATCTTACATCAACTTTGCTGAGCTGGCTACATTATCCGGAGGTCCAAGTCCTGACTCCCAAAGCAAGTTTTATTCTCCCATCTTAGTCAAGGTGTATGCTCAAGAGAAGGGCAGAGAAAGACCTTCAAGGACATCCTCAAGGCCAACTTGAAAAGATGCAGCATTGACATCAATTCATGGGAGACTATCACTCAAGACCACCCCAAATGGAGGAAGAGTCTTCTGCAAGGATCTTAGTACTTTGATATCTTACAATGACAACAGGAGATGGAAAAACAGGAGTGGGAGAAACAGCACGTCATGGACCAAATTAAGAATCCAGAGTCACCCACCCCTCATGGGAAAATGTCCCTGAGTCTGTAAAACCCAAAATCAACTTCATCAGCCATCTTGGACCCATAGATAAAGTGAGCATGGAAGACAATCATCCTCAGTTGTGAGGGTTTGCTGATATAAACATGTACATGGCAAGATAGTCCTGCCCCAAAGAGTTTACAGCATTAATAGGACAGACAGACACAGAGCAGAGGAAATGGAATATCTGTTCTATAGGAGGTTGGACTAGGAACTGAATTCAAGCCTTTTGAGGTAGGAGCCAATCTAACCCAATCCACTACTTATAAGGCAAGCCATCCCCACTTCCCATGCATCACACATACATTCTGGAGGTAGGACATCCAGCCATCTTGTCCAGTGCAGATAACAGGAAGGTTTCAGGCAAAAACACAAACATAAATAAATTTGCATATGTTCTTTTGAGAAGAACAACCCTAGTACCTCCATATAAATACCTTGACAAATCTTCTGTATGGTTTAATTAAAATGTAAAGCCAAACAAGAAGGGGGAAATAATGTCCAAAGGGAACAAAATTAATAAGGCAGTTGAAGAACTATAGCTCCTTTATAATAAACATTTGCTTAAGTGTATTTGTCAAGGCTCCATGAAAGAGTTTGAGTGGAATCCCTCAATAGGATAAAGAAGGATTTGAGAGGTTTTAAAATATTAATGAATAAATAACAAGTCTGTTAATACTTTTGACTAATTCTACTGCTAATAATTATTTCTGCAGCTGGAAGGGCTTAACTGGGGCTCCCATTGTGTCTGTGACCTTGAATTTCATCCTCAATGACTGTGGACTGGTTTCTGAGCAGTACTCTGGCCACTATCCCTTCCCCATCGATTCCAAATGGTACCCCACCTAGTAGATTCTTCTCCTGGAGGATCTTCGTTTTGTACATGGTTCCTTGACAATCACTCTCCCAACCAGCAGAAGAAGGGCATGGCTGGAATCAAAAGGGGCATGACTGGGTTCCTTTTTTCCATGCTTGTTGTGACCATCCCCTGTGTTGGGGAACAGGTCTGACCAAGGCTATAGGCACCAATGTCCATATCAGCTCCTGAATTCATAGGATACCATCAGGAATTGACATTTATTTTCAAACAAAGTTTCTAGTCTTCACAACAGAAAAGAAAAGCTTAAGATCTAACTCAAATATCAGAGTAATATCTGCCAGAGTCTGCAGAGAGCCTACGATAACAGCCATGCTAACACTGCATCAGCAAAGACTACTGTATGCAGCAAGTGGAAAAGAATACAGCAGTCTCTGCTCACTCACCATAAGCCAGCGACTGCAGCTGCTACAGTCTGCATATCATGGGTGGGGACACTGTACAACTTCCCAAATGGCTCTAGAAAAGGGTAGATTCCCCTTCCCGTCATGACTTCAAAAAAGGTGGGCCTAAGGTGCAGATCCCCAACTGTAGAGCCATAAAAGGTTCCCGTATTGTGGTGCATCTAGTGATCTGGAGGATATCGACATTGCTTCTCGACCTAATCACCAGAGGGCAGCCTCAGAATCAGTGTGGAGCCAGCCCCATCTTCTCCTGACCTTTCTCAGATATGGCCCTTGACTACCGTTGATGGTCTAGAATCATGACCTTAGACAGCTAATGGCAGCTGATGCCATGCCCTTGGGCACCAGTTCAAGAAATCTGATGTTCAGTTTGTTTTATAGCTATAAAAGTCTCAGCATTTCTAAAATACTTAATCTCACTGCAGAGAAGATGAATGAGGGGTAGTTAGTTCCTCTAGGCAGAGACTTCCCCTTTTGTTATCTAATGAGCCCAACACAACGAAGCCCTGAGCCATGACCAGGGTCCCTAGACACTACCATGATGCAATTCATAAATAACAATAATAAAAATACAGTTAAAAAGGTGCATGTATGCACACGCGCACATGCACACACTCACACACAGATGCATATGTAACTATTTCTGTAGCCCTCTTCTGTCCCAGACTATTCACCTGGAAAGCACTCTAAGTCACCCTTCTCTCTACTTGGATTGTGAAATTGCACTTTTTGCTTATATTCAGCTTCATTTTCAAGTCACCAGGGCCACAAGGCTGGGACTGTAACACTGCAGGAAGGTGAGAGGGTTTGTTTAAAGACAAAAAAAAAAAATCCCATTAGAAAAACAGTTCTCTGTTGGTTTTAGGATCTGCAAAGCTTCTAACAAATCTTAAGATTTCTGGCCAAATTTGAGTGGCCACATCCCTCCTTCATAACCAAAGCTATTCTGTCCATGCCTTTGAGTGAGTATGTTTAAGAGAGGAGCTACCTGGCTTTGTCAATCAGCTCTCAGGCCAGCCAAAGAAGACCAAAAAAGTACTCCAAAAACCTATGAATAAAATCCATACTCATCTCCGGTAACAGACAGCTCAAGTGAAGATCTCACCTATTTGCATTTTTCAGATCATTCGGTGAGCTCGCTGCTCAGTGACTTTCATTTGGTATATCGATTTTGTTAAGCTCCAAAATGTTGCCACAAGCACAGAGAGCAATCAAAAGCAAAGCATGCTGGTTAGATGACATTGGAGTATAACATTATTTAGAGTGAGGCCATTAATTTCTTTCCTTGACATCACAGCATGAGCCTAAGGGTGGCATGCTCAGCATATGCTTTCCTGGCAATATTTAAGTCCTGGAAAGTAGTGTTACTGAAGGCTGACAAAGGATAGGAGTGATCAAATAGCAGCTGCCTCCTCGAGAGCAGCAATCACAGCAGGGAAGATGCACAAACAGAAAAAGAGACTTTGGCAGCAACAGAACAGGCTTAATTGTGCTCAGCCTACCTAATAAGAGTGACTAAAGTATGTGTGTTAAGCTAATAATTAAGACATTAATGAAAACCCACAAAAGCTTTAGCGAAACAAAAAGTTTAAACAGAAAAATCTCGCTTCAATGTGTCTCTGAGTGTCACTCAAGTTGGTGCTGCTTAAAACCCGGGTTTCTTTTCCATGGAAAACTCAACTTTCTGGTTAAAAAACAAACAAACAAAAAATCGAGAATGAAGGTTTCAGACTTAAATGAGTCAGTTGCTTCTCAGAATGGAAAATTGGGTCAGACACAGCCTGGTGGGACTCCCTGCAAGTTGCTGGCTCTTGACCCCACCATTGTCCTCCGTGGACCAAACATTCCTGCCTGGACTGTCTTTCATGATAAAGCATGGCCTTCATTCTGGCTGAGCTGAGGTGCATCATGGGAATCCCTGGCTTAACATGGGTAGTTCATCAGAGGAACACAGACCATGGAGAAAAGTGGAGGTCTGAGGCAGAGCAGGCTTTGCAAGCCCGAAGTTGTGACAGCTGAGCATATGGCACTGGAGACCAAACCAGGGAACAAAGCAAGACCAGTAGCGCAGGCTGGGAGCCCATGGATGGAGGCCGGGTTCGAATTATGGGGAGGCTCGGGGGGCTAAGCCCCCCCCATATGAGATGAGAGCAAGATTTGGAAATCATAACCGGGGAAGGGGGTCCTCCAATTTTATTAGGGCATCGTGATGGGCAGCCCTTTTTTTTTGCAGACCCCACTCTGCCAAGACTCAAAGTGCAATTTGCATTATAGATGGAGGTGAGCCTCCATGGGACCAACCTGTCTGACAGCTCTGGCATTCACCCAAGTCTGGCAGCGAGGTTTAGCAGGGTGAGAGCCTTAAACATAGCCAAGCCACTGTGTGGTACCCACCTTGGCAGAGGGGTCTACTGGCAAGGTCAGAGTGCTGGTAAAGCTAGTTTCAGAAAAAAAAAAAGCCTAGCCCTAGACCTTCAGGAAGTGTCACATGGGGGGTGGCTAGTTTTATCCAAGTGAACGGATTCATCTACCACTTGAGTGTAGTTGAGCAGTCCATTGGCACAGGCAGCTCACTCAGTACCTGGACTCGGGGGAGACTGTAGATGGGGGGAGACTCTGACCTGCATGCTGAAAGCAGATGATACTTCTTCTGTAGCAGCACGGGCTCAGGCAGCAGCAGCCCAATGGCGCAGGCTCCCCGCAGCCGGTGCCTGGAGCCCCATTTGCTCCCCCACCCACAATATGCTATTGCTCGCTTTCCCCCCACCCCTAGTTATGACTTTAAAGGGAAGGAGGGGCTGATAGAGCTTGAAGAACTTGCTGCTGTGCTTGGTCTGTCACAGCCCAAATGTGTGGCTCTTGGCAGTAAGTGATGGTGTGGGAGTCTAGTATTGGCTCCACAGGACGGTCTATTGTTTTGCTGTATTAGAGAGAGATGGATTTATAGGGTGGGATTTTCAAACGTGCCTCACTGACACAGGAGCAGATGTTCCTGTTGTGTACACTCCCTTGTCACTTAGGGATATTTAAAAATCCTGCCCTAGTTTAAATAGATTGACTTGAAACTGGGTTCAGCTGGCCATGTGCAATACGCAGTGTCTTTGGGGTTCCTGTGTTGATTGAATATACTAATATGAAAAGGTTTCAGAAGAAGGAGATAGGAGTTAGCCGGGGAAGTACAGAGCGGAGGGGAAACCATAGGTTTTCAAATGCACAGGCTCATTCTTGCTCATTGCTGTCAAAGCCAACAGGCTGTGCTCATGAACTGATAATCTAGCTGCGATGCAGCTCTGCTGCCTGTCCTTACGATGCTCTATTAAAGGTAAACTAACCCTACGGAAAACATTCCCCACCCCCCACAGTCTGCTCTTGCAGGGTTATTCTCGCTAATTATAGCAACTTTCAAGCATGCTTTAACAGTATGTGAAGCTTTACGACTCTGACCACTAATTAAGCTGTCTTTTCAACATCAAGAAATTAGAAGACTTTAAGGTGCCTCCTTGCTGGAAATGGAGATGTCACTGCTTCATTTGTCTCTGGCGCAAACTCAAGCGGCTTTTCTTCCTTCCCCCTTTCTAT